TGTGTGTGTGTGTGGATGTCGGGTGAAATCCACCTTCGACGTTTACCAGTAAAAATCGAATCCTTCCAAGCTCACCTGTGGAGATCAGACTAGATCAGTGGTTTTCAAACGTTTTTTCTGGTGACCCAGTTGAAGAAAATTGTTGATGCCCGCGACCCAACGGAGCTGGGGATGAGGGGTTTGGGATGTGGGATGGGGCCCAGAGCTGGGGCAGGGGGTTGGGGTGAGGGCTGTGGGGTGGGGCTGGGAATGAGGGGTTTGGGGTGCAGGAGGGGGCTCCAGGTTGGGTGGGGGGGCTTAGGGCTGGGGCAAGGGGTTTTGGTGCAGGAGGAGATCAGGGCTCTGGGCTGGGGGTGCAGGCTCTGGGGTGGGGCCAGGGATGAGGGAGTTGGGGTACAAGAAGGGGCTCTGGGTTTCGGGGGGGGCTCAGGGCTGGGACAGGGGATTGGGTCACGGGGTTGGAGCACAGGCTTTCCTCTGGCGGCTTCCGGTCAGTGGCACAGCTGGGGTGCAGGGGCAGACTTCTCGCCTGTCCTGACACCGTGGACCGCGCTGCGCCCAGAAGTGGCCAGCAGTAGGTCCGTCTCCTAGGCGGAGGTGCACAAGCGGCTCTCGCCCGTAGGCACCGCCCCCCACCCCCGAATCCCATTGGCCGGGAACCTTGCATTCCATGACCCGAACTTTGAAAACCACTCGACTAGATCATGAGGGTCCCTTCTGACCTTAAAGTCTGAGTCATCTAGCGCCTGCTCCACAGAGCCCTCTGTTCCTTGACGGGGCAAGTTCCAGGTGTTAGGTGTAGCGGGTGTTATTGCTTTCCATAAGGGAGGGCGAATCTTAGCTATCTGCCATGATATCCCTGCAGTTCCAGGAGCTGCAGGACCCTTGCTAGGGCTGTAGAGGAAGCAGCCAGATCTGATCCATCCCGTCTGCGCCTGGGGTCATCTGTCTCGCTTTCTCTCTGCAGGATCACAGAAGCCGGCGTCCATGAGGGTCTCTCCAAGCTGAAGAAGAGCAGGGCTGCCCGCGAGGCGGTGTGAGGCCTAGCCGTCCAGACTGTCGCTAGTGCCCGGACCGTGAGGAGGCCGCCGGGTCCGCGCCTGCGGCCCAGCCGAAGATTCCCAAGCAGGACAGAGAAATCGGGGGTTTTGTGTTGAATTCCTGCCTCTCTGCTCCCCTGCCCCACCTTGTGGCAGTGCTAAGAACTGCATGGCCCTGTGCAATTCCAGCAGCTGTTCGCAGGACCAGGCCTGTTCTCCAGACTGCAGGAAGTTCAGACAAACTGTGGATGGCCGAGGGCTGCCGTCTCTTGTACGGGGCGGGGGTGGGGACTTTGGCCAAGCTCCGCCCTTCTCCTTCAAGAGTGGTTTCCAGACCCACTTCCTGATCCATGCATCCCTGCTTCTAGTTTAGATGCATCCTCCACCAGTAGCCCCCACCCTCACCAGCTCTCCTACCGCCTTCTCCTTCACTCCATGGACGAGCTGGGGCCGACCAGCAAAGGTGGAGCTGGCGTTCAGCACCAACATCTGGCTGGGGTCAGAGAGGTCCTGTACCACTGGGGTGAGTCGATAGATTGTTCCCGGGCAGAGGAGAAATACGTAGCGATCTTCAGCTGAGACTAAGAGCTCACCCGCCCCAGTGTTGCTGGTGGAGCTGAGCAACAGGCCAGGATCTAGACAACATCTGAGCAGTGAAGCTTGGCTCACGTTCATCTGGAGCTCGGTGGCACCCCGAAAGGTGTGGTGCCCTTCACCTGGGGGCCATGGTTTTCACTCTAGCATTAGTGGTGCCTCCTTCCTGGGAGAAGCAGTTTTTCAGGGGCAGGCTGCCCCGGGCTTCTTGCTAGACCCTGTCAGGTGGTAGGTTCAGGGTGTGATTCTAGCACCAACTGGGACCTCAAGGCTTACATCTTGGTTGCCTCTCTGTGACTTGCCTCCCGCCTCTGCTCTGCCCATCTCCCCGGGAGCTGGCTTCGTTCCTGCAGGCTCGGCTCCTGCCCTTGGTTACCTGTGCAGCGCTGTGGAACGTGGGGTTTAGCCTTTAAAGGGAGTGCGCTGGGCTCTTGCCTGCACCACGGGGACTGAGGGAGGAGAGAACCCAGCTTAATTTAGCTCCCTTTGAGCTGGGGCAACCAACCTGCTCCTCTAGTGGAACAAACCTCTCTAACCCTAGAGACAGGGTAGGTGGGACCCGCTGGTGCAGGAGGCCTGTATCCCTGCTGCGATCAGCTCAGCACCCCTGAAACAGCAGGTCCTTAGCTGCTGTGCACCAGTCTAAAGGCAGGAGCAGGAGATCACAGTGTGAGGCCAGGAATGATTTTGGGACCAGGCCCCTGCTTGTGACACTAGCGGAGTTCAGGCCGGGGTAGAATAGCCACTGTCCTGATCTTAAATGCATTTATACAACCTGCTCAGGGGCTGCAAGGTGAGGGAGGAGACCTCCCCACAAGGGAGATCCTTGGGTGACACCACCCTCTCTCTGGCTGCCTCTGTTGCTCTACTGAATAACTCTGCCCTCGGTTGTGATGCCCTTGTAAGTGGGGGCTCAACCCTCCCTCCCCCCCCTGCACCTATTGATTTAAATTCCTCATTATTACTGGGAACGGTGATTATCACACTCTTACGCCTGGGTGGATCCCCCGTTGTCTCAGCAGGGTTGGGTCACCATGCCCACGTTGAAAGGAGTTCCTTGGCTTAATTGTAACTCTCTGCACAGCCTGGCGCAGGGGGGTCTCCGGCTTTGTCTTAAGGGGGGTGGGTGGGCTCTGTGTGTAGAGGGCAAAGCCCTGCATTCCATGCTGGTGTATAAATGGCCCTTTCCCTGTCTCAGCTCTGGCTTATCATTCATTTGGGTAAAACAGCTGCTCTGAGGATTTTCGAGCATGGAGCGTGCGATGGTGGGGGCCTGGCCTGTGCGGAGTGTCATGACTTGATCCTGAAGCAGTGTTCATCCTAAAGCACGTAGTATCCAGTTATGATCTGGGCTCTAGAGTGGAAGGACCTGATCCATCAGCCTTGGTGCCTACATGGGCACGAGGACTAAAGGCTCAGCCCCCCCCTCTCTCGCACAGGCATGGATCAGCGCTCACGTCCCAGTGCCTGGCTTGGGCCGGGGCAGCTAATGAGCCAACCAGCGGACCTGGGTGTGTGGCATGTTGCGTATATGCTAGGAAGACGATGGCACTGCTAACGCTGTCGGCTATTTAACGGACTTAGGTTGGCCTGCAGTGGTGCTGCATCCCAGGAAGGTGCCCGTGGGGTGCCATGGAAGCAATTGATTATACAGATGACTGTAACCCTGCAGGATCTACAATGTCACAACAGCGCAGGCCCTAGTGCCGGGTTATGGCCCTGAGGCCTCCAGTCCTGGAGCCGGGCTCTCCCCACTCCCCTTGATCTAGGCCAGGGAGTTTCCAACAGGTTCCCAGCTTGCAGTGTCAATTTCGCCAGCTAAGAGTGAGTTGCTGGCTTCCAGGCTGTTGCTCGCTGGGTGGGTTGGAGGGTGGCTGTTGGGGGCAGGGATTGTGCTCTCGTCTGGGGGGTAGAGCCCCAAGCACAAGAGGGCTTCTCCGGGCTACCATGATATTGCAGGGGTTCAGGCACAGCTGCCCTGATCCTGCCTCTGCCACAGCCTTTCTGCATGGCCATAGGCACCTCACTTATCCACTCCCTGCCTCAGTTTCCTGTATATGAAAGGCGAACAGCCATACCCTATGGCCCCAAGGGGTTGGACGAATAAATACACTTGCAGGTGTGAGGGGCTCAGCTACTACGGTAAGGGGGGCTGTCAGTACCATGGATGGGGGAGAGGGGATAACTTATGGGGCAGCTGTAGGTCAATGACTCCTGAAGGCAGATGTAGCCTCCCCCCCCCCAGCTATCATGCTTCTGCCCTTCCCTGCGTGGGCTGAGATGTGAGATTCCCCACGACCCTGCCAGGCGGCTGCTAGTGGAAAGTTCCCAGGACTTACAAACTGACCCCAGTCACCATGCTCGGGCACTTCTGTTTATTGAGAGAGGGACTCCTGCACCCCTACAGGTTGATCGGATGGGCGGCCCTGGCCCTGAACAGCTGCTGGGGGAGTGAGTCATTGCACACACTACAACACAGGCACATGGTCCCAGCGCTACCGCAGGTGCTGGGCAGGGGGCCAGCTGCCCCCCCAAGGGGGAGATTGAGGAGAGGGGGAGATCAGGAACCTGGCCTTAAGAGGGTGCAGCACCCTGAGGCAAATGCTGCAGACTAAATACTCACCCCCTCTTGGGAGCTGTTGCGGCCCCCTGGGACGTGCCAGCTAAACTGCTTCACTGCCCCCAGCCCCGCCACTAAACCCACTTGAACCTGGGGCCATGGGCCGCATCAAACCCTAGTTGAGTGTCTTCCAAGTCTGGCTACATTAGTAGCCTGCTGGCAAACACGCTGCCCCTAACTCCAGCAAGTACGGTAGTCATCCCCTCCCTGAACCAGCCACCCCACCATCTTCCTACAGGCCTCCCCGGTAGTGGCAGGGGGACAGTCTGATGCCCCGTCGCTCCCTTTGCCAGGGCACAAGCCCTGCTGGGCTGCCGCCTCATGCAGGATGTCTGTCACACCCCCTGGTGGAAGCACAGCTGGGCCCACTCCCACAAGTGGGTCTTGGGTGGGGAGACAACTCAATACCTCCAGGGATCTAGCCCCAGCTGTGGGAGGGGAGTGGTGCTTAGTGGTTAGAGCATTGGGCCAGGCATCCAGACTCTTGGGTTCAATCCCCAGCTCTGGGAGGAGACGGGGCTCCGGGGACTCTTGGGTTCAATCCCCAGCCCTGGAAGAGGTCGGGGCTCCGGGTCCTATCTCCAGCCCTGGGAGAGGTCGGGGCTCCGGCTCCTATCCCCAGCCCTGGGAGGGGAGTGAGTCAGGGCTCCTGGGGCCTACACTACAGCAGGGCCTCAATCCTCTACTTTTTGAAAGTTTTTTTTTTTTAAATCCTTTTAAAACCCCAAATGTACTTAAAAAAAATATATGATACAAAAGAATCAGCTGGTTAAAAAGAGGGCAAAGAGGAGGTGTTGCTAGTCCCCTAGTAGATCCATGCTCCTAAACACAATGCCTCCTCCCCGCTCCCCACATCACCCACTGTGCTAGCACCTCCCCTCGGTCCAAGGTTTTGTGCTTTTACAGTGGCTGTCCACACTGGAAGCTAGGGTCGTGCTACAGAGCATGGGAGTGGGGCGGGGAGGGTGGGGGGAGATCTATAGCTGGAGCTGCCTGTGTTGTCCAGGGAGGAGGAGGAGGAGGAAGGGGATTGGTGCCTTCGTCTCAAGGAGACTTGTTATAGGACACGTCCCTCCTCTTCCTCCACTGCAGCATCTTGAGAAGGCTGAGGCTGGCTTTGAAGAGCCGGTCGTGCTGGAAGATCATCTGGTGGAAGGCGTTCAGAGGCAGGTTCCCGGTGGGGTCGGCGTGTTTCAGGGTGGTCATGGGCGTGTAGAGGCTGTTGGTCTGGTAGCGAAAAGGCGGCTTCTCTGCCATGATCACCTTGACCGTGTGCTGGGGAGAGCGGAGGAAGGGCCTGCCTGTTAGACACTCGACCGACGCCCTGGGCTTAACCCGTACCGGGGCAGATCCCCAGTTGATATGACATCAGGCACAGCTCCATTGGGGTCAATGAGCCGCATCCCCAGCTGGTGTTTGTACAGCACCTAACACAATGGGGTCCTGGGCCATGACGGGGACTCCTAGGCACTACCGTAATACACCTAACAACATACAGCACCTAACACAATGGGGTCCTGGGCCATGACGGGGACTCCTAGGCACGACGATAATATAAATAACCATGGCTCCATTGGACTCAATGGGCCAGATCACGAACTGGTGTAAATCAGTATCACTCGGATTACCACTTACTGTTGGTATTGGTAGCCCCTACGAGCCCCAGCCATGGCTCAAGCCCCACTACACGGGCCACTGTATATTATTTATTAGGTGTATTACGGTACTGCCTAGGTGATTGGGGGAGGGGGGGGCTGGGAGCCAGGATTCCTGGGTTCTGTTCCCAGCTCAGGGAGGGGAGTGGGGCCTGGTGGTTAGAGCAGGGGGGCTGGGAGCCAGGACTCCTGGATTCAATCCCAGCTCTGCAAGTCCCTTCCCTTTTCAAGGCCTCAGTTTCCCCCCTCTGTAAAATGGGGATAGCTGTGCCCAGCTCAACAAAAATGTTTTTTATCTATGGATCTCGAAGTGCTGAGCAGTAACATACTTGCTTCACCGCTGGGCGCCCTGCCCTTACACAGGCCCACACCCCACCCCACGCGGCAGATGACTGGGACAGAGGCCGAGCCGCGTCTCAAGGTTGAGCCTGGAGATGATGCTGACAGCCCCGGCCGCTCCAGGTGCCACCACTAGATTTGGGGGTGCTTAGAACCTCTGGCAAGCAGGCCCCTAGGATCTAACTACCCACCCGTCCTCCCTAGGTCCCCAGTGTCAGTGTGGTTAGAGCCGAGCGCTGTAGGGCTAGGAAGGGGGTCGCAGGTCAGTGTGAGCGCGGGAGGGTGGGGAAATGGCTCCCTACCTCAGCCACCTCGTCCGGCGACTGCCCCAGCACCGTGAAGACTTCCTTGGAATAGGCCATGTAGAAGCCTTGGAATATATCCAGTGTCTCCTGGTCAACGGCAGACAGGTCCATGCTGGCGGCTTCTTCGTAGAGTTTCCTTTCGAACTCGGTCACCACCGGCCCAGGTTCGATCAGGCTGATGCTGGGGAGGAGCAGGAGACAGTAACACGTCACAGCTCACGTACCCGGCCAGGGCCTGGCTCTGGGCTCATTAGGGCACATGCAGATAGGAGCTGCCATGCAGGGGCAAAGTGCTGGGTCGCACAGGTTGGTGTATCACCTCCTTAGACCTGTGGGCCTTCTAGTCTAGCACCCCACCTGCTGCCCCTCCCATATCAGACCACCCACCCCTCCCTCCTTCCACCTTTTATCCACCCACTGCTCCATCCATTCCTCCCTCTACCTACCCACTGCTCCCTCCATCCAACCATCCCTCCTTCCACCCACCCACCTTCCCCTCC